TTTTCTACTAATCTATAGCGGTAATTACATATCATTCTACTTTTGTTGACAGGCAAATCCTTCTCATCCACTAGAATTTAGAAACCATCATTATCATGACTATTCCACTTGACTTGGTAATTCACAAGTCCCCTTCCTAGAACACGGCAGGCCTAAATTCCTTAATGTGGAGCCATTGGGAAGACCAGCTACATCACTACTAGTCAACGATCAATGCATTGCTTCCATAGGATGGCATAGCTAAATTCTTGTGTGTGGGACCAACTGATGGTTTAGATGAGTTTCTATCCTAACTTACTATTATTCTATTCAATTAAATAATGTAAAAGTCAGTCCACGAATTCCATGTCACGGCATGGCTAAATTCATGTAGATAGAGTCACTTGGTCCTACGAATGGTTTAGATGACTCTGCACCATTATGGATTGTTATTCTATTCGATTCAATAATGCAACAATTAATCACTGCTTTCATAGCACGGTGGTGCTAAATTCATGTATGTGATGTTAATTGAATCTATTGATGGTTTAGATGAGTTTGCATTATAACTAATTGTTATTCTAGTCAACTTAATAATACAACAATTTATCAAATGTTTCCATATATGGTGCCCAGATTCACCTACAGGGCAGTTGATGGTTTAGATTAGTCTTCATCATTGCACATTACTAATCTATCCAATTCAATAATTCAGGTTTCAGTTCACTGTTTCCATAGTACGACGGAACTAAATTATTTTCTTCCGACTGCAAACTGAATCCATGGAGTGCTTCAAGGGATTGAAATGGGCATGGGAGGGTTGGAATCAAATTTTGCTTTGCACTAATAACTGGTAGTTGGAGCTGCAAGTTAGTGATCTAAATGCATTGGAGAATGGTACGATAAGCCTGTTTGGACTGACTTTTTTAGGTAAAAAGCTGCGATTTGAAAAGGTTTTCTAAAATCGTTTAGAGTATTCTTTAAATAGTTGAAAAAAAATTCATTTAAAATGACTTTCTAACTTTTTGTGTCAAAATTACCAAAAAAAAAAAAAATAGTCACATGTATGTATAGATTATACATAATAGTTCACAAAATATGAATATTAAATTTTTTTACGTCACTAATAGTATTTTATGGATATAATAAACTAAAAAGTTATGTGTAACCCACAACAAAACTCTAAACAACCAAAAGAAACACTTATAAAATTAGCTTCTTGAATCAACCTAAATAAGCTTTTTTGGATACAAAACGCTGCTGCATAAGCTAGTGAAAAAGCCAAGGTCCAAACGGACTTATTTTACTCCAAAGCCCTCAAGTTTCCAACTTAGTTTGTAAATTATTTTTTTGAATTAAAAGTAGAATCAAATGGATAAAAAATAAATAATGAATAATTTTATTTGAAATGAATTGTTTAGTATTTAAGTAAATAATGAATAATGAATAATACCCTAGATTACTCAACTTACTATTTAAGTAAATAACTTCTTTTTTTTTTAGTGAAATATGTCACCTAGCTTTCGATGATCAATTTTTTTTTTTCAAACAAAGTAGGTGGTCCGGGCTTGACAGTCGATTTCTAATGCCAGTTTTTCTACACGGGTGAGTTAATGGGCCGAATTTTGAGTTGGATAATGGACTTGAGGGCAGACCCAAACCCTCTCTTAAAAGATATTGAGCCCGGGCTTAGTCCGATCAACTATCAAGATTTGGGTCTATATTTTGAGCTGAATAACGGGTCTCTTGGACAAACCCAACCCACGGACACCCCAAACTCCGAACAGGCCAAATGTTCCCATTTTCATGTATTTGCTAGTTTGTGAAGTGAATGGTTTTGTTCAGATAGTTTACAGGCCAAACCTTCTCATGGACCAGAATTTAGAAGCAATCAATGTCAAGGCTATTCCACGTGACTTGGTAAATGATCAAGTCAATCCATCCATTGCCTGTCTAGCACGGCAGGCCTAAATTGTTGTATGTGGAGCCATTGCCACAACCCATTACTATTCCATTTGATTCAAGAATGCAACAATCAATCCACTATTTCCACGGCAGAGTGGAGCTAAATTCTTGTATGTATGTGGGGTCAATTGATCCTGTTCATGGTTTAGATCAATCTACATTAAAAATAATTGCTATCCAATTTGACTTAATGCAGCAGTTAGTCCACTATTTTCGGAATACGACGGAGTTAAATTCATGTATGTGGGGTTAAACCCCCACTGATAGTTTAGATCAATCTGTGTCATTACTAATTATTACTCCATTCAACTATATAAAACAACAGTCAATATACTACTTTTGTAGCACGACATAGCTAACTTCGTGTATCGACCTGGAGTTAATTTACCCCATATATAGTTTAGATCGATCTGCATTACTACTACTTACAACGGAGTTAATTCACATACTTGGGGTCAATTGAGCCCATATATGGTTTAGATCATATTGCATCATCATTATTACATCTTGATAATACAACTGTGGTTCCAATGCTTCCATAGCACGAGAGCTAAATTCTTTTCAAACTGAATCCATTGGATGCTTGGCGGGACTGAAATCACATTAGTTTCAACAGCATCTCAATCCTATAATATGCAAATCATCACCAACATTATGGGAAAATAACGAAGAAAAATAACTTCCTAAGTTGTCATTGACGATCACCAAACTACACAACTGAATTGAGTTACATTGGCAAGCTATGGTATTGACTAGCAAAGAAAAACAGGACTATAGAAAATGCATTTTGCAAACTGATATTGGAAACAGGACTATTGGAAAAGCTTTCATTTCCAGTAACATAGCATTAGGTCAGTAAGTTAAGTCTATTTGTGCAGCTAAATATTTGTTTAAATAATCAACTGGCTTATTATAAGCACACGGTGAACTCTTTTCCAGCTCCATCTTCTGCCCTTACAACTACGATGGCAGAATGGTATAAAAGAAAAGTTCTAGACAGTGATACATAACCCAAGGATACAGCCACAAAAACTAATTGCATAATGCTAAAAAAATTTAATAGTGCCCTCTAGAGGGGTCTTTTTTTTTTTTTTTTTTTTTTGAATATTGTCATTAGAGAAGAGCGAATTTTCATGAGAAAAAATGATGTCAACATGGCTTGTGCAACTAACGAGTAGATTTATTACTTGAATATCATATCAAAAACAATGTTACATTGACACATCTATCTAGATAAAGAATTACATAATCCTGCAGCTGAACTTACAGAAACTGTCAATGACAATGTAGTAGCTAGAGACTATACACATTTCAATGAAATTGAACCACGCCCTTCGCCAATAAGGGTTCACATAAAGAACTGCTACAATTGTGACAACACTACAATATACGACACACAAAAGCTTACACGAACCCAACATTATTTTGTTCATCCTCTGAAACCTTTTGCATTGATGATGGTGCTCCAGCGTTAGTACAATTTCTATGTGATGGAGGTCCACAGATGAGGATTTCCCTCGTAGCTAATCTCATTGAAGGTAGCAAATTGAGCTTTGAAATCTGGAGTTTTACCTGTTAAGTTGTTGTGTGCTACACTGCAGACCACTAAAGTGTTCAACTCAGTCAGTTCAGAGGGGATACTCCCATTCAGGTTGGTATAGGAAAGATCTAAGCTCCCAATATGCCTTAAGTTGGAGAATGTTGTTGGTATTGATCCAGTGAGATTATTATGAGACACATTCAATGAATGGAGCTCACTTAAGTTCCCCATTTTGGATGGTATTTTACCTGTTAATTGGTTGCAGGAGAAATCAATTCCTGACATAAAAATGAGGATGTTGCCGTCATAGGAATAGGACCAGCCCTTTGTAGGGAACTCGACCTTTTCTTTGACATTCGGCAATCTTATTGATTCAAAATAAGATGAATACAATGAGAATTGACTTATTCCTGGGGGGAATAAATCATATTTCGAACCTGTAACAGATTTGGCATAGTTTGACTCAAAAGTCAAGTTAGTTAGGCAACGAGGAATAGAACCTGAAAGACTATTCTGAGAGATATCGATCAGGCTTATTCGTTTTAGGTGGCATAATTGAGTGGGAATGCTGCCCTCAAATATGTTACCTTTCAAGATAAGAACACTCAACGCTGAGAGGCTGCCTATTCAATCAGGAATTCTACCAGTTAAGTTGTTATATCCAAGGTCCAATGTCACCAAAAATGAGTTGCCACAGAATGCACGAGTCAATGGACCACTCAATCTGTTTTTATTCAAATGGACATGAGCAATGGTTGAAGGGTTAAAACAAGCTGGCAGAGTCTGACAAGTTATTTTCAGAAAGATCTAGAAATCAAAGCCTGTCAAGTTTACACACCACAATTGGAACGGGACCTTCAAGCTGATTTTTGGCCAAATATATTTCCTCCAAATATGACTTATTCCCTATCCATTGTGGAAGTACGCCAGACAAATGGTTGTTTCTAATATCCACACCCTCCAAAAATGAGGCATTAGAGAAGCAATCTGGTATCTTTCCAAGAAAGTAGTTGTTGTTCAAGTACCAAAATACCAAACTGGTCAGGTTGAAAATAATGGCAAATATTCGACCATGCAAGGAATTATTTGATAGTTTGAGGACCTTCAAGGAGGAGAGACCCATGGCAAGATCTCCCGATATGCCTCCAGACAAGTGATTGTTTGATAAGTCTAAGACTAATAAAGATCTAATACCACCAAAAGAAGGAATATGGCCATCAAACAGATTATTGGACATCTTTTAAGCTTTCTAAGCTTGGAAAGATCACATTTAAATTTATGGAATTTGACCACTTATGTAATTGTTAGAGACATCAAGGTATGAAAGATGGGGACTCGGATAAGAAGGCATTTGCAAAGATCCCGTGAAAGAGTTATCTCGCAGGTTAAGAACTTCCAATCTCCTATTTTTCTCTAATAACCAGGACGGAAACCTCCCTGACAACTTGTTGTGGGAGAGATCTACAACTCTCAAGTCATTTTGATGATATAGGAAATATGGTAGTCTTTCAATGGTTCAATTTGAGGAACTAAAAACCTTCAGTTGAGATATTGGAATCCATGATTGAGATTCATTTTCGAGGTTCAATATGTTGTTATCAATTAAAATGACCTCAAGCTTTGAAGGGTTAAAAAACAAGGGAAATGAGAACGGGATCATGAAGTGGTTATATGAAAGGGAAATTGATTCTAGTGAAGTGAGGCTATTAAGGGGAGACTGGGCAATACTACCAACTAAGTTATTGGAGGAGAGATCCAAGATTCAGAGCAAGGTCAAGTTTCCCAGGAAGGAAATATACCCTCCATATCATTACCAGCAAAGTATAGCTCTTCAAGGTTGTTAAGGTCACACAATCTTGTAAATGTAATAAAGGATGCTTAGCTAGAATTCTAATTCGCAAATAAATAAAATTGTCTAATGACTTGTGAACAAACTAAAGTTTCCAACTTAACAATTCAAGGAACCACAACAAAGCAACTATCCACAGGAGGGGGGAAGGCATTCCATAATATCAATGATGAATGGATAAGGCTTTCGCAAATCAACTCATAAAGAAATCTCCAATTGATGGATGAACCAGACAAATCTAAGTGCTCCAAGTTGATCAGTCCACCCAACTGTATTGAAAATACTTGGAAACAAGATTAAGAAGCAAAACCTTCTTTGTCATCCCGTTTAATTGTATCCATTAACTTTGGATTTAGATTAGATTTGATCCCACCACCATCACCATCACCGCCCAACTCCACCCAAGAGATTGGCCAACATCACAATCCCTCTATTATCACCTTCTCATCATAACTCATTAGCCTTGTCTTTGAGTTTTCTAGTTTACAAGCTCCGTAAACATTCAATGGACTAAACCTTAAAAATTAATTTGGAAGCTCAAGACTTCAAAAGATCTATAATTTATTTTCTGTTCATTTTTTTTTTGGGGGGTGGGGGGGGGGGGGGGGGGGGGGGGCACATATCTTTTGATATTTTTTACTACAAATATAATTTTTAAAAAAAATAATTTCTTGCTAGTTCAAATACACATTCCTAATCAAATTATTATATTCTCAAATTCTGATATTATATCTTATCAAATGCTATCATATCTTTTAGAATGATACTTGTAACATTGTACAATTAGTTTTTAAGTTTTTATATCTTGTCTATAATAAATAATCAAAATAAAGTACATATGATCAAAAAGGATCTATAATTTTTTTTTTAAAAAAAACTTGAATTTAAACAAAAGTCTTAAAATATTGAACAATAAAATTTAATTATTAGTGTTACTTTAAAAAATTAAAATTTGATATTTGGATTCTTTTTTTTATCAAAGTTAGGTTATCACTCTTGCCAACAAAATTAAGTAGGTTATTTTTAAATAGGTTTAAAGATATGGATTTTGTGAAGTGCTAGGGCAAGGGGAGAGATATGAATTTTGAATTTTGTGGGCTGATTTATGGATGGATCTAGACCATTGAATATAAAACTTTCTTATTGGGCTTAAACTTTATAAGATTCTTTTGGTAATAACTTAGTAGAATATTATGGATTTATAGTTTGGGCCTCAACAATACTATTGACATATGAAATAAGAGGCCTTTTTTATAACTAGGGCCTAAAGCTCACACCTTTTTGTCTCCCTCGTTTGGCCAGCCTCAGGAGAGAGAGAGAGAGAGAGAGTCATAATGTAGAAGAATCGGATGAGTGTGTGTGTTTGTGTATGTTTACGCATGGATATGGGTTTTTGCGTTTGTATGTGTATGAATGAGTATATATATGTATATATAAAATGAATGTTGGAACTTTGGATGCACGAAAAATTTTGTTCAATTGAGGAACAAAGGAAAAAATTCAGTTTTAAGACCAAAATGGAAACCCCGACGATATTTTTGGGATAAAGTGTAACAACTGTTTTTATTTCCAAATAATGCCCCTGAGTGAGTATCCATCAGGTGTGCGTGGCCTTTCCCACCCAAAATTTCAACATGTACTGGACTGATTATGCACAATAGCCAAACTTGAAGAATGAGATTGAGAAAAGAAAAGTTTGAGAAAAGAAAATTTCGTTGTTGTTGAGTGGGGGATAGTTGCTAATTATCATCAACACTAGTTTACCTTTTTTGGTGACCAATCCCTCCACACTAAGGCTTATCGTCCTAAGAGATGGCAATGCCCCTAGTGAACGTAAAACACTTGCATTCTGATCTCGTAGGATACTGCAGTATTTCATTGCAATTCTCCTTGAGAAATAAATATTGCTAAGGTCTCCTTCATACCTTGTAAGTGAACAGATCTATTCAATTGGCTGTTGCTCATGTATAATCTCTTAAGTGATGAAAGCACTCCGAGAGAGGATAGGACACTGTTATCATAGCGATTCCAATCCAACCGAAGAATCTCCAGCTTGCTCAACCCAGATAATCTTTCAAAACCTGCTAAGAAGTTTAGATTTCAGGGAAAAAATAAAGCTCCAAATCAACATACTAATAACACCACATGCATATTGGTTTGATAAACAGGAAAATCTAGACCTTCATTTGCAAACCAGCCAACAGGCTGGTTATCAGATAAGTCGAGATTTTGGAGCTCTTTAAAGGGAAGAAACAAAGAGGCATTGAAATACCAATCTCCTAAAAGCCGGTCCCTTGTAGAGTTAAGGGAAAGCTTAATTACATGAGCTGTAAAGTCAAGCATCTTCGGGAATATCCCGATTAGTCTTCAACTAGAGAAAGGATAGGGATCTCCTTTGCAGAGTTTTCTTCTCCAGCCGATGTAGCGGTAAAAGATTCTATTCTTTCTGCAGTCTAGTTACGTCTTTCCTCTCCCTATCTAAAGAGCTCTATTAACATAGACCCTCTCCTGACTCTATTATTTTAAGAAAGCAGCAAATCCTTCTCTCTATTCTACTATCCGATCTCGTCTGTTGAAAATCGATCTTAAATACGGTAATATTTTAGTTATCCCAATAGTAAACCTTCTAGTCTCGTTGCATTCAACTCCTTCCCAATAACAACAGTCACTCTCCATACTATTACCTTCCACTGTGTCCTCCCAAGATGGTAAAGACGTTCCATGTGGGAAGTTGATGGAAGCTTTGAGTTGCAAGAGAGCAATTCTCCCTTGCTCTCAACAACCAAAACATCCAACCCCACAAACCCATACCGAAACTAACATCAGTACCCACCTCTGCAAACCCTTTGTTTCCATCATATTTTTCTACAGATATACGATGATGGTAATTAATAAGAGTCTGACATATTTTTGTTTCTATTTATTGGCAAAGTGCTATCAGATTAAATAGAGAACCGAAGTGTTTGAATATTTTACAGGCAAAGACTTCTCATCCAATCAAATTTAAATGCCATCAATGTCATGACTATTCCATTTTAGTTAGGAATTCGCAAGATAGTCCACTGCCTCCCTAAAGTCTTAGAAGTGGGGTCAATTGATCCAAGACCTGTCTGCATCAATAAAGCAGCGGTCAATCCACTGCTTCCTCTGATATATTGTTGATTATACTAATGTAGGTAGCTCAGTCTCAAACGTTTGACAGCGAAAAAGTGCACTGGAAAATGGTCGAGTCTACTCACAAGAAAAGAAATGGCTAAAGCATCCTATTTTGAATATTCACAAGAAATAATACTAATTAGACCTAATTTATAAACATAATTTATTGATTTAATCTACCATAATTATTAGATTAGTAGCGAATTCAAACAAATATTGGGACCCACTGTTAATTTTAATGGTTATGATTAATTAAATTAATAAATTAAGTCCAAAAAACATTGCTCTTTCACTTGATATTGAAAGAATAGATTTTTAAGAAATTATTAGAATTATACCATCAATATCCTAATGTATGTAGCTCATTGTCAAATATTTAATGGGTTAATTACAATTTACTCGCTTAAACTATGTCCCTTATTACAATCAACTCCTTTTCATTTCAAATGTTGCAATTTGCCCCCTCCAAATTTCAAGTGGATTAAATTGACTGACAAAGGTGACTGAAACATAAAAGAATCATTACACTCTACATCTTGTACATTGTTTTTCATATTTTTTTCTTGAGATATCAACTTTGTCCCTAAAGAAAAGAAACAAAAAAGGCGGAATAAAAATTTCATTTGTTTAGCTCAACAACAATACACTACACAATACCATTTTCGTCTTCCCCTTCGCCTCTGCCTTGTTAGAGGGAATTGAGGGTTTTTGCTAGAAGAGGGAAAAGAATGAGAGTTTAGCGTCTAAGGTAGGGGAGGATGGAAGGGTTTTTAGTGTGCCCAGCCGTGGGTCTGGTCAGGGTAGTATGGATGTTTGGCACATGGGAAAAAAAGTGTGCATGTAATTATATATTTTCAACAAAGTACAAATCACATGAATTTTACATGTCTAACTTCCGTCTATTTTTATGGTTTAAAATTAACTGTTGAAATAAATTGCAAAATGTTCAAACTTACCATGAAATATTTGTTAAAATCAAAACCTGAAAGAGTGAATGAAAAATTACCCAAAATAAAAGGGGACATTTTACAATTATCCCATATTTAATAGAGTAAAAGTTAACCGGAGAATGGTGGAGTGTGCTCATAATAAGACAAGAAATGGCTAAAGCACCCCTATTCTGAACATTCGCCAGTTTTCTTGAAAGAATAAACTTTTAAAATAGTAGTTAAATTATGCAACTAGTTTCAATCAACTCCTTAAGGCTTAAACTAAAAGATTATTCTCACTCCCTAAATCTCATTTCCCACCCATTAATTCATCTTATTTCAAACTAATAAATTCATCTCATCTATATCCACCCCATTAATGACTAAATTCACCTTATATTTTCATCTAATTAAAATATTAAATATATATTCAAATAAACTGAAACAATAAAATAACTAAAGCAAAATTTCAATATTCAAAGGTGATCTGGAATAGTTCAAGGTGTTTTGACATATTTTCACTAATATCTTTAATTTTTTTTGAGCTTTTGTAAGATGTTGGTACATTTTGACTAATATTTTTAAAATAAATTATTAAATTATTTTTTATTATGTTTATAAAACATTTTCGTACCAAAATAATACACTGAAATAAAATTTTGATCATTGTCTATATAATAGTAAGTTGAAATAAAATTGAATGAATTACTTTTTAATTAGTAAATATAGACGGAGTGAGTTTAGCAACTAATGGAATAAATAAAAATGGTGTGAACTTAATAGTTTAAATCTTGAAGTCAAAAAATGAAATGGGGTGAGAAAGGAGATTTAAGGGCGAGAATAGCCCGCACCCTAAACTAAATTCTATCCCAATTAAATAACTTAAATCCTCAAGCTTCTTAATTTAATTAAAAATACCCCTTGGGTTCAATTTCGTCACATTTAAAACAGATTGGTTCTGTATCACTCAGACGACTGATCAATAAGGGTATTCAAAAAACGTAAATTAAAAAATGATAAAAAAAACAGATATCCAAACCCAATCCTTTGTGTTGTGACCCGCATGCTCCACCCATCCGCCCGGCCCTGTTCTTCTCCCATTCCCAATTTCACTAACTAAACCCTAACCCTAAATGTCCCAAAGGTACCTTGCTAAGCCCTCTCTACCTCTGGTTTATTATCACCCATTCAACAAAGCTCATAAAAACTCAATCCCCTCCACCAGCAACACATCAAACTAATCACATAACAGAATTAACACAAACACCACAGAAGAGGAAACACGAACTCTTGCTAAAGACTAGCACTGACCTGTCACACACCATTGTTGATGCCCTCTTCATTGCCAAATCAAAAGGGCGCCAAGGCATATGAATTTCTAATCTCTCCTCAAAAACTTCGCGACAATGAGAGAGTCGAATTGCGCAAAAACGCCGGGACTATTTGATTTGGAAAATCATTCTACTGGGCACACTTCATATTACCACAAAAAACTAAGTCGACGTGTTTTGGCATTAGTTTTCGTCGGAGACTCACCGGAAATTGTTCTTCTATTGGGTAAATCTCTTAGATTTGAAGCTCTTGCAAGAACGATTCAAAAATTGGGAGGAGAAATGGAACGATTCACATTTGATTAAATTCTTTAGTTTCGAGGGGGTTGGGTTATACGGAGTAGAAGTGGAGGTAAAGGTGGAGTTGATGGGTTTCCGGGTGGAGACGAGGATAGAATTTGGAGGTGGAGGGAATAAATAGAGTTGGGTCGGGTTAACACTAATTTAAGGGCGTAATTTGAGAATTTAATTTATTATGATCATTATATTAATAATAAAATTTCCAAATTAGGTCGGTCTGGCTTTGCACAGGGGGACAATTCAATGATAAAAATTATTAAATTTTAAATTATGTTAAAATAATATTTTTCTCGGGATAATTAGGGTATTGGGATTGGGTTTTAATATTTGTGGATTGTTATTTTTTTTTTCATATTGATTGTGCCGTGCAAATTCCATGATAAATATTGAAAGAATTAATTATTGAGGTAAGATATATGCTAAGGTTGTAATTGAAATTAGTGATATAGTTTTAGAATCATTTTAGTAACGTAATGTTTTTAAAATGAATCGGTTTTTTAGTCGTGAAAAAAAAAATTATTATATATCTTCTTGTTATCTTCATGGATAAAAAATAAAGTTAATTGTCTCATATTTCAAATTTTGAATTGTTATTTGTGGTATTTAAAATATAATAAAATCACTTATTAAAATTTTTGATTTGAAACATGTTATATATAATAAAACAGTACCAATCAAGTGTGATACAGTTACATATAAAATTAAAACAGTTACAGAAAAATTAACGAAACAGTTACAATAGTCTTAACGAAATAGTTACACGTAACTGTTTGTCAAATTAATATAAATACTAACCCGATTATAGAACAGGAATTGTTATTAAATTTTATGTAGATCAAGGCTAATATTTGACTTAAGACAAATTTTGCCCCCACACATAGTGTTTATGAAATATCAAACGTCTACCTCTCAAGATACAATAAACTTTACACGAATAGAAGTGACACTCCAATCTACTCGCCCAACGAACCAGAAAATTGTGTTGTGTACTCTCCAAATACAGATTGTCTTAATGATGTATGAGACTGTCTTAAATGACTAAGAATGTATTTGATGAATTGAATGCAAAATAATTATGTGATTGAGTTATTTATAAAGAAAATGGTGACTGATCTAGACAGTAACCATGTAAATAGTTGCAACACAATAGTCACATGTAGTCAGAAGACACAACTCAAATTTCGGATCAGAGGAAAGCAACAAATTCGAATCAGTGCGAATTCAAATCCAACAAATATCGAAAATTAAATTTTCGATTAAGAAATTCACGCCTAATTAATTAAACAATTTTTTTCCAAAAAGATAGGGTTTGGTCAAATCCACACCCAAGCCTGAGCCCGGTTGGGTCAAGTCGTGGTGTGGTGGGAGCGCGCTTGTGTGGTAGAACCGAAAGCATGTAGGTGTTCGTTATGCTCATAAAATTGTGGTACCCCTTGGGGCCCAATTCCTTAGTGCAAATTTGGCTTATATATGCTCAAGGAGAATTTCTTCCTCAACCAATGTGAGATTAGTGTCAAATCTCACATTGCACAACCTTTATTTCCACATTTTAGGTGGATCACTTTGTAGTCTATTTTTTCATTCATTTCTTATTTGATTTGAGCAAGTGAATATACTACATTATTCTCCTCACGAAATAGAATACGAACTCACGAAATTTTACTCGAAATAACGAATGGGTCCCGCTTTAATTTAAGCTCAATGTCGACCAAAAATTCAGTTTTTACACTTAGGTAATTGTTTTGAGAAACTGTTTTTGGCCCAACAATCCCCCACATGAATGAAAAATTGGTTGTTAGTATACAACTGATAATGCTAACACACTATAGAGAATACGTCTTTGAAAAGATCGTCCATCGTGATAGGTAGTTTTTGGCCTTAAATCTTCCCTAGTGAAAGCTCATCGAACTTATAGGCTAAATAATGAACGTGTGTTGAACTATTCAGTTGTTTGATAAATTAGACCGAATAGACTTCACGCAGTCTCTTTCCTAACACAATTAGTTC